TTGGGGTCCGACGACGCCTCAAACCCCGGGGTGTGGCCGGGCATGGCTCCCACGCGGATGGTTTTTCCCTAAACGGCTCTCTGAGGAACGTTTCCCCGGGACCTGTGTCCTGTGTAGAGCCTCCCACAACGGCTCCTTGTGAAGGACCCCAGCGGGACACCCCTAGAACGTTTCCCCCAGCAGGGTTTTCTGTAGACAGTCTCCATAGTCCTCCTGTATGGATGGGCCACTTGCCTGCCCCATAGATTATTGCCCTCAGAAACCGCTAGAGAGACGAGCCCCCTCCCCCCTCCACACACAATAACGCCCCTGATTAGAAACCCCAAAGGGGTTTCCCTAGAAAGGGCTTGTGTATAATGCTCCCCGATCGGAAGTCTCCCCGAGAGCTTGTCTCCTTGACAGAGGCTTCCCTAAATAAGGGGGACCCCCCTCCCCACCCCCTACAGGCACACAGACACTGACAGCATCTTCCCTATTGCGCATGTCCTCGCCTCCCCCGGCCCCAGCCTCTTCGCGACCCTCCCTCGCTCCACAATGGGGAGCTCAGATTGGGGGGGCGTTGGAGGTCATTAGGGGCGCCGGAGGGAACACGAGCTGGATGGATAGGAAAAAGAGGCTCGGGAACCCCAAAAGCGGTGGGCCCCAGGCCCCTGAGGCCAGACACACAACTCCGGGGTGCCTGGCTTTGGGGAGGGTGATATCGGGGAGGGGCCCGCACCCTTTGGAGAAAGGAAAATCTGTTTTCGACTTCTGCTCCTGGTGCCTTTGGCTCCTTGTGACCTTGATAGTCTGGGCATTGTTTGTGATGGAGCTGGCCTGGCACCGCCTGCGGAATGCGAAGGTTGGAATGATGGAGGGGTTGTGGCAGAGACCATTGAGACGGAGGGAGGGAGGGTGAGAGAAAGAAGGGGGCTTTGGCGCCCTGCAAAACTGCCATTAAACCCGAAGAGGGTTTTTTTTTTTTTTTGGTTTGCTTTTTCTCTATTTTAGCCACTTAATAAAGCAAATATGGTATTGTTCCCTTGAAAGGAGATTTTGAACGTAGACGTTGGAACTGCTTTTTCTGTATCCTTGTGAAGGTGATTACGGCATCGTATTTTTAACTGTTTGCTCACTGATCTGTTGTTGTTGTGCTTTTTTTTTTAATAAACCAAATTAATGAAGAGCAAGAACTAAATCTTAGAACCATGTTCCTCCCTTCCTGGCGTGCCTTCCCTGCAACTAATGCGTGTTTGTTGAATGAATAAATGGGGAGGTGAGGCTAGATTCCCATGGTTGCATTTGCAAGTCCTTGTTTGCTTTTAATTTGGCAGGTGAGGTTGTTTGAACTTCTCCTCTGCTCTTCAATGGAATTCCTTGTGGACTTGACAGTTCCAAGTGTTTAGCTGCTTATGATAACCATCTCCAATCCACCCTAAGGTCCTAAACGTTTCTGGCAGACAGTTTTCACTGTTAGAAAGTATTTGAATTTTACATAGAACGAAACGGCACTTTAGAACTTGGAACAGCCATCTGTTAAAGCCAGGCTCGCCGTTGAGTTGGGGTTCATCCCATCATCTTAAGTGTAGGAATCTTGAGTTTTTGAGACGTTCAGGGGGGAAAAAAGAGCTTCCCAGTGAAATCCATCTCTAAAATATGGTGCCTTCCCTGTTTCTAAAAACATGGCAGTGTGCAGTTAGTTTTTAAGTAGTGTTTTTATGCTAAAAAGATAAATGTTGGTTAACTTTACTAGTCAAACTCTGAATCTTCCACTGAGTAGTCTGAGTGAAACTCGGTCTCCGGACAAGGGGTAGTGCGAGGAACCCCAAGACCTGGCTGTTTTATACCTTTGGTAAAAGAAGTTGGGTGAAGGTTCCCCTCCATTCTTCACCTCTGCGTAACTGAACATGGTTTTCTTGCCCATTCAAGCCTTTCCCTGACTTTTGACATTGAACATTTCTAGCACATTTGGGCTCAGCACTTTCCTGTCACCTATACTTATCTTCCTTGCTTAACTCTGATTCCTGAGCGATGAAAGGGGCAGGCCTAACTGGTGAAGTTACATTCCTAAAGACCCATAGATAGTATTTTGCAAGTGTGTGGTTTAGTGGTAGTGTTTATTTTTGCAGATAAGGAATACAAATCAGGTGGTAAAATCTTGTTGCTTAGAACTAGAACATTTTTTTTTAAAGGATATGGTGCTGTCCATCAGATATTTTTGGTTTCTGCCTCCTGGACATGTGGTAACGAACTTGCTTGTCCTCTTGAAGTTGGGTTTGGGTACGGCGTTGTGAGTTCCTCTAGGTCAATGAAATGTGCACAGGAGTGATGCTATACCTTCTGGTGTGCAATTTACCACTCTCTTTACCTCTGGTGACTGTTGGTGCTTCAGGTGGTGGCTAGTCCATCAGTCTGGGACGCAGAGCAAGCTTTCAGGTGACTGATGTTTGAAATGTAGAGTGAGGAAGAAGCTTTTGGAGTTGTTACTAAGTACCTATCTTGACTCATACTAAGGAACCAGTATAAAATATGCTTTCCTGCTTCAAAATCTTTTTCTGCAGATGGATCTGATCCTGCTCAGGATTCATTTCATTTCACTGCCTCTTTATACAAATAATCCAACATACCCTGTGCTAGGTGTTCTGGATTCAAGCAAATAAGGCAGGCCCTTACCCTTAAAGATCTCCTTTGTAGGTGGAAAGAGACAAAACAATAAAAATTGTAATATAGGGTGAAGATAAATGAGTATTGAGGAAGAAATAGGGCCGAAGGAACAATAGTGTAAGAGGACACAGTTGATTTGGGGCTCAGTGTTGGGAGAATGAGTTGCCATTTATTAATTTGGGAATACTGGAATAAGAGCAGGTTTGTGGAGAAAATAGAGCTCAATTTTGGCCTTGTTCATTTTGAGTTTCCTAATAGATATCCAAGTGGTGATATTGAGTAGGCAGTTGGATATACAAGTCTGGCATTTAAGAGAGAGATTGGGACTGGAGATACCACCCATATGCTGATAACTCCCAAATTTTTATTTTAAAGCTGTGAGGCCCTGGCAAGGTAGCTCAGGTGGCTAGAATGTCATCCCGATACATCAAGGCTGCTGGTTCATTCTCTGTTCAGGGAACATACAAGAAGCAATCAATGAATGCATAAATAAGTGGAACAACAAATCGATGTTTCTCTTTCACTTCCTCTCTCTCTCTAAAAAAAATAATAAATACACACACAATAAAAGCTCTGAGACGAGATAGAGATGCAGAGAGTAAATGTAGATAGAGAAGAGGACCAACATCCAAGCCCTGGGCTATCCCATGTAGAAAAGACAAGTGTAGCAACATCTTCCAACTCGTGAGGGAAAATGGTTTTCTGCCTCTGAGATAGGAGAAGATTCTGGGACAGTGGAAAGCCAAGTGATAAATACTGACGAGGACTAAGAATAGACTGTTAGATTTGGAAATGTGGAGGTCAATGGTGACTTGGACAAGAACCGTTTTCATTCAGTGAGTTCAAGAGAAAATAGGAGAGAAATTGATGACAGTCAGTATAGATAGTCATAGTGATTTTGTTTCAAGGATGTTATAAGGGAAAGCAGAGTAATAAAGCTTCAGCTGGGCGGGCATGAGTGTTAGAGTCCTTTCTGTTTTTAGGTGGGCAAACATTTTAATTATAGCATGTTTGTAAGTTGATGGGAATGATGGAGTACAGAGAGGCAAACTGATGATTAAAGAGAGAGAAGGGACAATTTCAGAAGTGAGGTCCTTGAATAGGTGAGAGAGAATGAGATCGAGGACATACATGGATATGTTGACCTCAGGCTAAAGTAGTGCATGGACAGTTCATCTGTGGCAATTATATGGACACAAATGCTGGTGCAGTGGTAGCTTGGTAGTGGAAGAAAGTGGAAGTTCTCTTCTGATTACTTCTATGTTTTTAGCTAAATAAGAAGGAAGTCTGTCAGCTAAAAATGAAAAGGGGGAGGAGTTGAATTTTTAAGGAGAAAGAAGGTATAGAA